CTTGCTCAGTTTTCCCAATGGCATCTTCTGCAGATCAATCTGATGAAGATTTAAACGATTAAATCAGGATTTCACTACATTGAAACTATCGCGGCATTCCCTCTCTAGTTTCTAGGGAACAAATCTCTCCATCCTGGTAGGACTGGCCACACGAAGAACGGAAACATTTCAAACTCTGTATTAATCTCTGTGGATTGAGGAATGATGTCAGAAGGACAGCGCACACTACTGAGAAGACATCCTATAAACAAAGGAAAACTGCAATAGGAAACAGCATGCATGCTAGGGCAACACAAAAATAGGGTACTAAGCGTCTGCCTAGAAGTTTAATATTGACCTGGTGTCAGACAGATTCCTCAATCACCTCAGTAAGCATACATTTCAGGCTGGCAAAGAAGCAAACTGAATGAAATAATTCTTGTTCGTAAGATCATCTGTGTCTCTAGGTACAACCTAGACACCTTCTTCCACCTTTACCCTACAATTATCACAAGGGTCAAACGCGAAGTGGTTTTAAGATGCTTTCTACTCATTATTGAAAAATGAGCCAAAAAAAAAAAAAAGCAGGTAAGTTAAAAGTGATGTCTTGGTTGCCTGCATTTATCCACTGATTTAATTTATATGTTGCTTTTGTTTTGTGTGTTGATGGATCTTGAGAGAGTTTTGGATTTGCATGAAATCCTTGCACAGTTAAGGACCATCTGAATGCAAAAATGTTCGACAAAAGTCAAGGCCAATGGAGTCTTTTACAAAGATCATACATACACCCTGTGGAGTCTTGACAGTACTCACCGTACACCCCTGCAGGTCAAACTAGCTTTTACTTTACTTGATGGGTTCAAGATTCAGCTCAAGGACAGAAGATCCTATGAAACCATGTATATCATGTACCCTCTGGGTAAGTTCCACATTATTTATTCATTATGGAGCTATGAAACCCAGCTGTATGCAAATTTTCTCTGCACGCTGAACTCAGAAGGCTCTTCCAAGCTACAGACTGGTGTGAAAACCCTGAAGTGATTTTGTATGGACATTTCTACCCTGTACTGCACTTAGGAGAACTTTCACCTTTAGCTGCAGCTAAGCATACATAAAGCCAGATACTAAGAAAAGCCAGGATGGACTGCAAGAGAAAAGACAGACTTCAAAACTGATCATGTCTTGGGGACACCAGAGTCACAAAGCCAAGATTAATAACCTAATGAAAAAACAACTTGCAATAAATTTATAGCTCCCAAAGTTTTGGGAACAATACTTTCTTGTTGAGTGCCATCCATCCATATTATCTAATTATTAGCTGAAAAATCACAACAGATATGTACAAGTAAAATGGACCATTTAACTTGGATGTGCAGAATAGCTGCGGACACCTATTCCAATTTAAGTTATATAAACCTATAAACTAACACATATAAGCACTAACACATACATAGTAACACCTATAAACTAACACATCCCCCAACAATGTGATTGAGTAATATATCTCTTACAGAGCCCACATACAGCCAAAGGGCTGGAGTTTGTGTCTCCTGTGAGTCATAGGAGGTGAACAGAGCCCTGCAGAGGTAATATAAAGCTAAACTGCATCCAAAGCTTTATCATTAGATGCATCAAAAGAGCACAACAGCCAAGGGGCTGGGTCTAAAACAACAGCACTGAAAATTACTGTCAGATGCACTGAGGGTAACATGAAGAATTAGCTCCACGTCACAGATGCAGGCACCAAGATTGTCATGAGAGGCAAGGAAGTTGTTTGCCTTCCACCCAGACAAGAGAGGACACAGCACTAGAGTAGACTCAGCCCTCTAACTAGCTTTTTCACGCAAGGCCATGACATGGATAATTACAATAAACCCCTGTATGCTTGGTGAGGTAAAACTCTTGAAAGCTAAATTAGAAGCAGGAAGAGAAATAAATCAGATAAATCTGTTCTTGCGTAGTGGAAAGAGTAAGAATTTGCTACAGTTTTGGCAGAGCAAGAGTGCCTGGATGGAATGAAATACTTAAGATCAGGCTGATTAAAGGAACCAAGCAGCCATTTTCAGAGGATGCACAGAAACCTCTAACTAGGAAAACATTACTTCCTTTAACAGGAAACAGCTGTTCAGCAGCAACAGTACAGGAAGATAAATCTAATAGGAAGACGGGCCCATCTGGACTCCCAGGTCTCCTATAGATTTGCAGCTGGTGTGAATTAACATCGTTTCAACAGAGTTCTACAAAACCAGAAAACATCAGACGACAATCAGTTCAGAGTCTTTAGCCAGTTCCAGTTACAAAGGATTATTAATATTTTAAGACCTTGATGTAAAGAACCACTGAAGATACAGGACAACATAATTAACCCAAGGTACTACAACATGATGGGCAAGCCATCTGAAAGCTTTCAGATAAGCTGTACGAAATGGTGCAAAGCCTGTTCTGTAAAGTAGTTACATGAAATACTGATATAGAGAGCAAACAACAGCTGCTTAAATATGAAGCCTTAGAGCAGGATAACTAAGCTGGCTGAAGAAAACTGAAATTTGTTATTTAGAATTAACCCAGTTTGAATGGCTGCATTAGAACAAACTGCAGGATTTCTGAACACTAGTAAAATTGTTTCTGTGCAGGGAGAGACAGATGATACTACCAGACCGCTCTCTGAAAGCTTGTTAGAAACATGGATCAAGAAGTATGGAGGAAGGAAGAATGGAAAAAAATAGGGTATCATTAGAAAAAATGAGACATTCAACAAAAAAATCTTGAGTTCAGCCCTATTCAGAAGAGGATCTGACCTCTGTCAAGGCACTTTGTTAGTGCATGTATCAACTGGCAGCATTTCTCAAAACTGAGCTGCATGCTCATTTGCTACCTAAATTAGTGGTAGCACTGCCCGCCCCCGCCCCACTGTGGCTGGTTCGCCACTCACAAAAAAATTGCCCCCTGCCTTACATCACCAGCAAATTGGCTATCAGTATTAATATTTTAAGAGCGTTCAGCAAACAGTGGTCACGATGCATGTCACTGGAAAAAAATAAGAGAACGATTACTGATCCCAGGACCTGCAGATGAGTTTCTCACAGGCTTGTTAAGTTAAAGATGCTGATGCAGACACTGCCCACTGAAAAACAAAGAACGGATCCATGCTTTAAAAACTGCACGCATCATAACCGAGTCAGTACTTCAAGTGCTTGGCAAATTCTGGTTAGACTCTTGCCTTTGTTTTAAGGCTGATCTAAAAATCACACCAACTTCTTGCACCCTGGATTGCAAAGAACTTGCTTCTGCCTCTGTAAGTATGATGTAAAGAGAGAAAGGAGGGTTAGAAGTGAGAAACATGAACGCCTGTGGTCACCTCAAATTCCACCATCGCTTTCTTCATGCTCTCCACGTCAAAGATCATCTTAATAAGGTCTTGGATTGGCTTAGCAAGTTTTGACTTAGTCCCGGCACCCACTGTCAGTTTCCTGACAGCTTCTTCATCCTGGGAGGTAAAAATAGTATCAGAATTAGCAAAATCACAAAGGATAAATGAAACAGGCTGGCTGCCATGGTAACAACTCAAAACCGATTTAGTGTATGCATACTATGACTAGCCTGAAGTTCACGAGGAGCGTGGGACATTGCTCTGACATTCTGGAACAAAGAGGCTTTAAAAATCCACCTATTCAGTAATCTGGTAGACATTATTTTAAGAGGTGGCACTGTAAAATGTAAGTAGAGTTAAGGGAAGATGAACGGCGTGCATCTCTGCTTCGCCTCAAGCAACAGTATTAATTACTTTTTCTACAAGCTTTCCACTGCATGGAGAGCTTCATATGAAAAAATGTCTGTTTACTTTTCTGCTTTTATGACAAGATAGAGATGCAGTAACTAGTTTCACTAAGTTTTTGTAATAAAAACTGTCATAGATGAGTATAGGAATCATCAATTAGCCACAATACCATCTTTATAGCTACAAACAGCATTCAACTATTTCATCCTTAAATAGATTAAGTTATGGGTACTCCTTTAAATAAACACACAAATTCCCACCAGGCAGAAGGAAGAGAATTCTTTAGTGCAGCTGTCTAAATAGCCAAATCTTACTGGCAATGAATAATTTCTGTTTCTCAGCCTGCTCAATATGTGCACTAAGCAGAATACTGTATAGGAGCTGCTTCACCATTTGGGAGTGGTTTGGATGCAGAAGACAGAAGAGAAGTATCTATTTTAAATAAAAGAAAATGGTGTTTCCAGACAGAGTATGTGAAACGACTGCTGAATTAAGTTCAAATTAACAACCTTAGAATTACAGAGTAGACAGGAACAAGCACTAAAGGGACTTCAGACTTGACAATGGAAAACTACTTAGTTTCCCAACACATCTGTTTTAATGCGTGATGCTCATCAATCTACAGCTCTCTTTCTGTAGCACAGAGAAGATGCAATAAAATAGTTGCACCTGCACTTCATTCCTCCCGTTTGTTAAGTGCACATGATCCAACAGTGAGCACAGAACAGAACAGGCACAGGAAAGCAGCTGAGCAATGCTCCACCCAGTACAGGGACATTTCAGTTACCTGCCCATAATCTATTTCCAGCGGGTAGAATTTTTTGGGATATTTAGTGAAGTTCTTTGAATGCCAAGAATTGCCAGTTTTCTCTTCATACAAATTCAGGAAGTGTTCAACGGCGTCTTCTTTTGAGGGCATCTGCTCCAGCTTATTACTCCCGATTACAGTACCCACACGACCCCAAGATCTGAACACCCAGTATCTAGAGAAGTAAAACATGAGAAAAGGACATGAGATACTCCGGTTCTAGATCTCAGTCCAGATGAAACTGATCCTGCAACAACCATGCAACTGCATGCGAATCAGCCATGTGTCTTCCATAGAATTAATGGTATGCATTCTCTGTCAGCAACTGCAGGAGAGCAACAGAAAAGCCACCACAGAACGTATGTCCAAGAAGTGGTGTAAAAATAATTGCCCAGTGTGTTAACACACCAGACCTACAGCCCTGAGGATAAATGTGTGCACAGCAGGAACAGAGAAGCTAGTATCTCTTCTGCGTTAAGGTCTCACAAATACCAATCTTCAGCCTATTGGGATCATATATTTGAAAAACAAACACCACGCACCTTCAAGCCTCAAGTCCTAGAGTTCAGATTTTTTTAGAGAAACCAAAAGTAACTCAAGTATTTGTTTTTATTACTGACACCACCTTGGGTGAGTATTATTTGTAAGGATATAATCAACCAACCTTTCCAATTTGTCAGGCACAAAACGCAGGCACAGAGATCCCTCCATGTACTAAATGACAGATTCAGATAAGACTCCCTAACAACAAAAGATTATTATGAACAAGGTAAAGTGCAATAAATCCAGAGCTGAACCAGGTTTGTTGCTGGCAGCCATTAGCTCCCCTAGATTTCTGTGCATCTCATACACGCTTGGGGAGCAATTTTGTTTTAAAGAGCCCCCTCCATTTCTTTATCTGTGTTCAGTAATGCAACCACTGGACAGCTCTGCCATGCAGCTGATGAGACTGGAAAGCTAAACACACATGATCATCCCCTGACCATTTCAGCGCATTTTGTTAAGCATCAGGGCACCCAATTCAGGACTACACTGTGGTAAAACAGCCAGAATCTGGTTTTGTTTCCCGAGGTTCCAGCTCCGTAATTAGAAGACAAGAGTAAGTTGGAAAATACGGGAAACATTCCCAGCATTGCTGACTTTATGTGTGGGGTCTCGATGTTAGAACAGAGGAACATCCACCAAATTCTGCTTCTGTACATTCAAGGGCAGCCACAAGCCACAGAGCGCTGTGGCCCTCCTTGTTAGCCAATTAGCCCAGTCCTAAAGTCCCACCAACTGTACATGCCTTGCTCATCCTAGGATGTAGGAATGAACACTACCAGATGCAATTCTGCAAAATTACTCACCTCCCAACCTCACCACCACAAAAAAAAATGTCCCCATGCTGAGCATAGATCTCTCCAGGGGTAGTTTGTTGTTTGGTTATTTTGTAGTTTCTGGGTTTTTTGGTGGTTTGGGTGTGGGTGGTTGTTTGGTTTCGGATAGGTTTTTTTTTAATTAACATACCTATCCATACCTCCTCACAAAGACATTTTACTCATACTTTGCTTTTGTAGATACCAAAAATCCAGTATTTATTGGAAAAAAGTGAACACAAGTATTTCTAGGGAAAAACTAAACTCACCTGTTCTCCCTATCATCCTCTAGCAGCTGCAGTTTATAATAAGAATTTGTTCCTTTCACAATATCTACTAGGCCCAGGGTTGCACTGAAAATCTTTCCACCTTTTTCAAAGACATGAGCAGAATCCTCCAAACCTACAGAGAAGAAACATTAGAACACAGAGGAGGTTACCATTTTAAGTCTCCTTCCTACATTTTCACTCACCCATATGTTTCATGAAGTAGCATGAATCTTAACAAAAATACAGCAAAAACTGTGACCACAGGCGCATTCAAAACTACTTGAAGCACGTTTTCTTTTTAATAAATTGTGAGCATACACCTCCAGATATGCTGGAATGAATCTCAATCCTAACTAGAGAAAAAAAAAATTGAAACTTTTGAAAAAGGACCCTCTAGTATTTAACACTGCATGACCAGCTGAAGAAATTCTGAAAAGAGATACAGCTTTGCAGGTGTCATGTTAGCAAATGGACTGAAAACCTAAAGGCTGGCCTTGGACGCAGTATGAATTCTCAGAACAATCTCTATGCACCACAGATGTGGAGAGTAGCATCTGCTGTCCCCTCCAAGAGCCTGAGGGTGGATGCTCATGCCAGACCTGTGGCCTCTGCTGGCTGGCCTTTATTCACCCCACTGACAGATGCTCCTGAAGCTGAACAAGGTGCACTCCTTAGCTGAAGCGGTCGTTCTGAAAGTTACACTAGAAAATCCTGGAATATCCAGTTTTGGATGTCACTCAATATCCTTCCTCTGATAGCAAGAAAAAAGTGGATTAAAAATTCACATTCCTTTTATGGAACCCTTATCCTCTCACAGAAAAAATGTTTTGCAAATGATCATGCATCCTGAAGACTGTGTGTGGTGCAGGCGCAGCCATTGTTATCACTCACCAGAATCAGGATCTACTGCTGCTCCACCTTTAACCGTTAGCTTCATTTTCTTTTCAGACTTGCTAGGTCCTGCAGAGAGAGAGAGAGAGAGAGAGTTAATTTTTTTTTCCTAGGCAGGCAACACAGTCTGACTTGAATCAACATTTAAATTCTGAATTTCTGTAACTATCAACCTAAGGAGACTTCAAATCAGGTTCCCAGTATATGAACATTACAATGCTGGTTTTGTTGGGGTTTTTTTTACCTGGCTTCAGCAGCCAATTCACAGCCCCCACTCCCCCACTTAAATGAAAAATAAAATCTCCCCAGATTCTATCTCCTTCATTCTGGCCCTAAGGGGTGGGCTACATAATTTTTTCACCTGTGCAGCAGATAAGTCACATTTGTGGTTGTGCTTAAGTGGGATTTAAAAACTTCAGAGGGCATGGGGAGTGTTCAGGTCCCCTGGAGATCCTGCTGCTGTGAGATAGTCTGGCAATAACACAATTGTGTGACAGAAACCTACGCTTGGAGGACATGGAGAAGAAGGGGTTCTGAAGACAGGCGAGCAGATGCTATGGTTTTGTTCACTGTCCAGCATTAATAATGCAAACTCTCTACAGCACTGGTGAGGAATGCTACTGGTGCTGAGTATTTTTCCTCCTCCGTTAAAAAAAAATGTTATGTTCTAAACAAGCAGAACGAAGACCCATTGCTCTGGACCCCAGTATTTTCTCACTTGCTAATATCACTTGGGAGTCATGGTAGCATCTGTCACATCTTGGTGCCCCAGCACCTCCTTGGAGCTGCAACACCAACCCAAAGTGGGAGAAAAGATGAGGTTTTATGAGGAAGAGTCTGGACTGACGTCAGGGAGCCTGGGCACGTACAGCACAGAAGATCTCTGAAGCAAGACTGAACTAAGGGAAACAAGACCCAGCTCAGGAGACAGCTTCATGTTTACTTAAAGCTAGTCTTGCCCTGAGGTCTCATTATTTAAATTTATTATGAGAAAAAGAGCAGAGAACTCAAGGGAAGGGCAAGGACAGACTATACTCAGGTTTGCTTTGTGCCTGCACAGCACTGAACAGGCCTGCGGAGAAACAATCACTTTGTTCTTCACCTTGTTCTTCTTTGACCTTCCCAGCACTCTTCGTACTTGGGGGCTTGCTGCATTTCCCATCCACGGCCATTTCCTCGTGCTCCATTTTCACCTCTGCACCCCAAGGCGAAAGTGCATGGAGAGACACAAGCTCCTGAAAGTCCTTGCTGGAGGATTTCACATCCTGAAGAAACTCCTCTGAGACCACACGGACTTTGGCCTCCTTCACTTCTTCCATCTTCTTGCTCATTTTCTCCACATCCTCTGTAGAGGCAGGGTGGGAAATGGAGAGAAAAAGCCTCAGTGAGGTTTCAGACTTTAGCCCCGCCCCCTGGCCACAATTCAGGGCTTTGTAACACTTTGTGGAAACACAGTCCCACCACATTTTGGATTCACCATGTTCCTTGGAGAGCAAAATCCCCATCGGCTCAAAGCTGCATCTTGGGCTAGAGCAGGAACACTCATGTTTTATCCAGCTGGTCCAGCTCTCTGCTTCCTGGAGCTGGGCTGGAGCTTTACAGCCCCTCTTGGGCCTCCTGGCAGGAGGGAGCAGTTCTCCTACCTCAGCAGCCAGTTTGCACTTCAACCTCAACAGGGAGCGAGAGCAGACCCTAAGCTGCCAGCAGAGAAAACAACATCCCTCAGGCACCCACAGTCAGCTCTGCAGCTTCTCCAAGGCAAGCATGGATGCAGCTCCCAGCACCTTTCATCCCAGCAAGGGTGGCTTGCACACCACCATGGGTCTGCATACAGACCTGAGCTCCAGCTGCTGCAGACCCGACAACCTGCAGGATTAACGTGCTAGGTAAGTAAAACTCAAACAGCACACATCTGTCTTTACCTTTCCAAGCACACTAAGGCCACGTGCGCACACAAAGCACTCCCCCTAATCCAAACACTGATCCCCAGAGAGCTCCAAGGATGCATGCCCTTTGTAATCCGCTCAGCTGTTACCAGTGCTACCAGTAATCAAGGCACAGCTGCTCACTCTGTGTGCTGATGCACAGGGTGGCCTTATTAGCTGTTGTTGTCATCTTTCCTCCCAGCTCCTCCACAATGCTCTTCACCTCCTCCTTGTTCTTTGACAGCTTTCCAAGAGCCAGGATCTTCATGTTGGTCAGTGGTTTGTCTAGGGGTTCGGAAATAACACAGCATGTTAGCAACAGGGACAGAGCCCCCTGGGGCAAAGAGCAAGCATGAGACAACATCAGGACATGTTAAGGACAATCAGCCCAGCTGGTGGGGAGACAAGGGTCCAAAAGCAGGTCTGACCTGCGCTAAGCAAGTGTGAGGAAGCTCCCCTTTACCTAGGAAAGGCAACAAAGCTCAGCACCCACTAACAAACAGAAGGGATGGAAGACAGGAAAGATGGATATGTAGGCACATTGTTTGCCTGCCCCCCCCCC